TGTCTCCTCTCTCTCTCTCTCTCTCTCTCTCTTTCTGTCCACTCCCTCTCTCTCTCTTTCTGTCCACTCCCTCTCTCTCTCTGCCTCTCTTTCTTTGTGTCTCTTTGTCTCTCTTTCTCTTCACTGATGTGAGCTCAAATTACATTTGAAATCACTTCTAAGTTTTGTTAAATTATCATACCTTTTGTTAAATTATCAATCGTTATCTTCAGTCGGGACCTGAAAGGCTCTTATTATGATTGATCCTCAACTTTCTTTATTAATACCTGACAGAAGTATGATTACCTTTTGATTTAACCTTTTCTTTAATGTCAAAACATGTTAGTCAAATCCACTTTTTAGAATAATTGTTGAATAGTTAGAACTGAGATTTGAATAAAGCCTTTAAAAAAAGTAAATCGGAGTGGAGAAGAATAATGTGATAGCACCTGGCCTCTTAGTAACTGATGTTGGTCCTTTATTGAAAAGACATAAAATCAACAACACACATTCATCGTTGGGTTTATTTTCTCTTGATACCTGACGTATATGTTTCAAACCTCTGTATGTGAAATGATATACTGGGTCACAGTGTGTATTGCTTTTCAGAGGTAAGTCCAACTTCTTTTATTCAACACTATTATTTCTGCCTTTCTTTAATTTTTTTCCCCATTTAGTAAGGGCAGTTATTATGTTGATATGTTCTTCTTTACTTGAACTAAGCAAAACAAATTGAGACATTTGTCAATTACTCATAGAATACAGGGCAGTGCATTCATGTGGTTGAATATGAAAAATTTATTCATGAAAGTTTATTGAAAATTCATGTATAAATTTGTATTTTGAACAGATATGCCTTGTTGGTAGGCCGACCTCCCTTCGAGACAACGACCCTCAAAGAAACCTACATGCGCATCACAGAGAACTCTTACGTGCTTCCACCATCGCTGTCTCCCCCGGTCAAGAACCTGATCCGCCGCTGCCTGAACGCAGACCCTCTGAGTCGCCCCAACCTGCACGAGATCCTGGCCGATGAGTTCTTCACTTGCGGTTACCTCCCCCGCTCCCTGTCGCCAGCGTGTTGCACCTCGGTGCCTAAGTTCCCGGCTTATTCTAGGTACACCAGCAACAACAGGTGTGTGTGTGCACTCGTACTAATTTTTCTTTTTCCTTCCTATATATTGATGGTGTCCCGGTCAGCTCTGAAAAAGCAGAAAGGTTTTGCTAAAAGTACTGATGATGATGTCTCCGTATTGCTATCTGTTTATGAAGTCAGATAGCTTTCCTGGGGATGTTTCTTTCATCATGAATTAAAAGTTGACGTCTGTGCGAAATGTAAAGAATTATGGTCCTTGGTGAGACTTGAGACGGCTTTTGGGGAATTTCAGATTTGTTTGAAATGTGCCTGACACCATCGATATAAAATTGCTAATCATAACCATTTTGTAACTTGGATTTGTTTACATTTTGTTTCTTTCTCATAACAGTTTTTAGGACTCGCATTTGTTTATGAGTGTGTATGTGTGAGTGTATATGTGTACATGTGTGTGAGTGTGTGTGTGTGTGTGTGTGTGTGTGTGTGTGTGTGTGTGTGTGTGTGTGTTTGTATGGATTATTGTCTTTGGGGTGCATGTCAGTTTCAGCTTTTTTGGGGTGTTTATTAATGCTTGTCATAACAGTTTTCTAAAATGACCTTTGAATCCTAAAAGCTTTCTAATTTTGCTCTTAACTTATTCTTGTCAGTGTGCGTACTTTTATAAGTGTATTTATCTGTGTTTGATTCTCTTTTGTGTTCCTCTGACATCACAGTTTCTTTGAACATCTTTCACAACTCACATGTGGGTGGTTGGCGGGTGCTCTGGTGTGGTTTGCTCCTTCTTTCCTATCAGACATCTATCGTCCTGATCTCTCCTCCTTCTTTTTTGTGTTTGTTACTCTCTTGTAACACCTCTAATCTTCGGCACTTATATGACCTTATTGTGTTGCAAGTGCCATAAAACTCTTACTAAAACAAAACAACTCACATATTTCATATCTCTCTCACCCTGTTCATATTTCAAGTCAGTCTCTTTCTCTTTCACCTTAACTTCACCCTTCATTCGCTGGTGATAGTTAAAAGTAAGAGACTTCTTGAATTTTATATTATTTTTATTTTGTACCAGTCTACAGGAAAGTTGCGTATATCTGCCAAATAAAGCTTAGGTTGCTAAAATTGAGTTGGAAGTTGTCCTTAACAATTTCATTCTGGTTTTCAATATCGAGTTGTGTAATTATTAGAATGAGCAGTTACTGAGGGAGAGTGAATATAGTGTCTGTGCTGATGTAAAAAAAAATATGTGGGGATGGTCTTTTTTGAAATTCTGTAACTGTAGCCATTTCCCTATTAAGCCCTTGGTGATATCAATCTCGTAGTTCCATGTGATATATGGGGAGAGCATTAAAGTAATTGAATATTTAATGGCTTTAGGTTGTATTCTGACCGTTACTGTTTAACTTGCTGGTGGTTGGAGTGCACCACTGTTAGGTCCTACTTCTTTACTTTCCTTCTGTTGTTTCTGTCTGTCTGTTCTACTTTTTCTCAACACTAAATGATCATTATTGTGTCAATGTGCTTCTCATTAATCAAACAAACAAACTGTATAACTTGACTTATGGCGTTGTGTCGGTGTATGTTCTGACTTGTTTCACACTGTGCTATTTGAAGCATTTAAATCATTCCCATAGCCCTTCTGGCATTGTACTATGCCTCTCTTTGTTGGTTTCCTCAGACCCGTCTCCTATGCAGTTCCCAATGACACTAAGACAGACCCTATGGGACGGCTAGGAAATGCTCTCAGCCAGATGCACCTGGACTCTAGGTCAGAGAACCTTCTGGAAGAAAAGGAATTAGAGGATATAGAGAAGAAATCTCCCCGTCACTCGCCTACCCACAACAGCCGCAGCAGCGACAGCGGACACCCTGGCAAGGACAACATTCCCAGTGGTGGCTCCAACAACGAGGGGAGCTCCGGAGACAGATCCCGCTCTCCACCGCAGAGAGGTAAGAATTTAAGAAGTTTTAGTGAAGAATTTTACAACACTTGCAACACAATAAGGTCATATAAGTAGTGCCGAAGAGTAGATGTTTTGCAAGAGAGTAACATACACAAAAAAGAAGGAGGAGAGAGATAAGAACAATAGATGTTTGATAGAAAAAAAGGAGCAAACCACACCAGAGCACCCACCAACCACCCACAGAGGTAAGAATGCATGAGGGCATTGCTTTCCTCGCAATATCGGTGGTTAGAGGTCGCCATTGGTAGGTCCTACTTCTTTCTTTCCCTTTGTTGTATCTGTCTGTCTGTTTTGCTCCTCCTCCCCCCCCCCCTTTCACTAAATGACAGCTATTGTGTCAATGTGCTTCTCTTTACTCAAACAAACAAACAAACAAATAAGCAAACAAACAGTTCTCTTAAGACAATGTTGTGTCTTCACTTGTGTTCAGGATTTTGTCTTAGTTTGTTTCTGTTCTGCTGTTAATACTAATAATAGTCTTGTTTTTGAAGGAAAATGCTATTCCTCTGTGATTAATTTGGTGTAAGTAGTACATTTTCACTATATGCACTTCTTAAGTCAATGTTGTATTTCATGTGTTTCAGATCAATCTGGCAAGCAGAGATCTGCAGCAACCCTGCTGGAGGCTCTGGGAACCTGCCTTGAACACATGCCTAAGTGTAAGCATTTAGATTATTATTCTCATTTCGATTCGTTATATTTTTTGTTTATAAAAAGTTATGTGTACCCTCACAGGTCATGTTTGCAGTCTTTGTTGTGCCCATATATTTATTGTGTTGTGGGTTTGACTCTGTGTGTGTGTGTGTGTGTGTGTGTGTGTGTGTGTGTGTGTGTGTGTGTGTGTGTGTTTAAGAGAAAGAGAGAGAGCGAGACAGAGAGAGAGAGAGAGAGATTATGTTGCTTTGTGTGTATGTGTAGGTTGTGAGTGTGCATGTGCATGTATTTGTGATGATGCATAGCTGTTTGTTTTATTTTGTAGCCTCGAATCACAAAAGTTGTCTAAAGCACACTGGCTTTTACCTCAGAAGGAAGATCAATATCGCATTTTTTCCCTTTATTTAAGGGAGATCTTCAAAAGAGGATGTGCATGCAATTGAAGATCCTGTTCCCTGGCTCTTTTTGTTTACGGCAAATTTAATTACTACATCCTGTGTATCTTTTTATAAACACAAAAAACTATATCTGAAGATAATCTCCCCTCTCATGTTTTCCAGCATCCAGAGCCAACCCGACACCGGTCAATTGCGAGATAACCTGGGTCACCAAGTGGGTGGACTACTCCAACAAGTATGGCTTCGGCTTCCAGCTCTCCAGTGACGCTCTTGGAGTTCTGTTCAATGACACCTCCAGGATTATTATGGCCCCAGATGGAAGGTAACAAAATACTTTGGAATATGTATATGTGAGGCATCGTGGTGAAATCAGGAGCTCGTCAAAACAATGAAATATAAGAAACTGTCACTTTTCCTCCAGTTTGGCAATTTTTATTGAATTTTTTTTTTTGGCTCAACACCTTCTATGTCCATTTAAAAAGATATTTCTGTGTGGAAATCACTGAAATGTAAATGTTTAGTATCCAAGAAATTTCAAGATACGGAAGTGACGGAAATTTGGCGGCCATTTTCTCACTAATTTTACCCCTGAAACCAGACGACCCCACCTCTTGCAAGTGCAAATATCTCAACTTTGATTTGAGTTAGATGGGTATTTTTTTCACCAAATGCAAGACAAATGAACATGCTTTAAGATGTTACCAATAACTCCATTTTCCCAAAAATTGACGAGTGCCTGATTCCACCATGTCGTGCCACATATATCTTTCTCTGAGCTTGTCCTTGATGTAATTTTGATACGATAAAATTGTTTTTGTAGAACAGATATTTTGACACATATACTCGTTCTGTATATATATATATAATATATGTGCCATGACATGGTGGAATCAGGTGCTCGTCAGTTTTTTAGCGTATGGAGTTATTGGTATTGTCTTAAGCCAGTTTATTTGCTTTGCTTTTGATTAAAAAATACACATATATCTTGAAGAGAAGTTGAGATATTTTAGCTTGAAGGAGGTGTCAGGAGTAAAATTAGTGAGAAAATAGCCACCAAAGTTTGGTGACTTCCAAAGGTGTAGTGTCCTTGGAAACTGCAACTTAACATTTTTTGTGACTTTGATTAACATTTTTGGTAAAATCATACAGAAATGTGTTATTAAGTGGACATAAAAGATGTTAAGCCCAAAGCGAAAAAATATTGATAAACATTGTGAAACGTGTGGAAAATGTAGATTTCTTTGATGTGGTTATTTTGACGGGCACCTGATTACACCACGATGCCACGCATATTTTCTTTTCTGTTATCATTTCTTGATACTTTAAATATTGCCTTCATTTTAATTTACAATTTACCTGCTTCGATAGATTGAGATAGATAGATTGGCTTCTCCTAACACTACCTTCAACTTGTTGAGTGTTCTGGCACAGGGATTGTTTGGGGAGTTATCAAGGCTTTCAACCTAAACGACTTGGTTCTGACAGAAGTGGGTAGTAAATTCAGTGATCCCACCTGCAAAATAATGTTCCAGCGTTGGAATTCTTATCATACCATAACCTTTGCTAGTTGGAAGGTGCTTCGATGTGGTTTGCTCCTTCTTTCCTCCTATCAAACATCTATCATCTTATTCCTTCCTCCTCCTTTTTTTGTGTATATGTGACTCCCTTGTAGTACCTCTAACCTTTGGCTCTTGTATGATGTAATTGTGTTGCAAGTGCCGAAAAACTTTTTCTAAAACCAAAACTAACCATAACCTACAGAGACAGACGTGTGTTATTAATGTCCTGTATTTCTCTCCGTCCCTCCTCTCCTTTCGTGGGTGGTTGGCGGGTGCTCTGGTGTGGTTTGCTTCTTCTTTCCTATGACACATCTATCGTCCTTGTCTCCCCTTCTTCTTTTTTATGTTTGCTACTCTCTTGTAACACCTCAAATCTGTTGTCGCTCATATGACAGTTGCAAGCGCCATAAAACCTCTACTAAAACTAAAACTAAACCTCTCCTTTCCCAACACAGAGCCATCCAGTACTATGATGTGACAGGCAAGCTGTCTGCGTTCTCGTCCGACTGTGTGCCTGAGGAGCTGGAGAGGAAGACCACTCTGCTGCAGTATTTCGCCCGTTACATGGACGAGCACTTGATCCAGGTATGTCGCTCGCTAAGCATGGGTGGGTGGTTAGTGTGGGTTTGTGGTTGGTGGATGTAGGTGGGTTGTTGATGGATACTCTTTGTCTTCACACCTCATGATCTCTGCTGCTTTAGTGTTGACCTTGCTCAGACTTATTTCAAGACATTTTAATACTGGTGTAGAATAAAAATGTAGAGCTTGTAAAAGTTAGCTGAGCTGTTGTTTCAGTCCATCAGACATAGTATTTAAAAGGTTACATATAAGAAAGTCGACAGCTATCGTTAGTCTGTGAGCTTGAAAGAAACACAGTATTCATGACTTAAAACGTAGGGAGCTGTGCAGTGGCTACCAGCATTGATCCATTTGTAAAACTGGAGATTTATTAAATGGAATATGATTTAATTTTGTTGCAGTTTAAGACCTTGTGATTACTTTGTGGTTATTACATTGTTGTGCAAAATGGCATTGTAACTTTAAGTCTCTAATGGGGACTAATAATGGTGGGGTTTTTTTTCTCTATTGTTCCATCAGGGTGGTGATCTAGAGTACTCAAGCTGCAGCGATGCCTGCTCCTGGTCAGGTTCTCTCTTTCTGAAGAAATGGTTCCGCACAGCAAAGGCCATCGTCCTGTATCTCAGTGATGGAACTCTGCAGGTACGGATAGTCTCAGCTTTGATATGTGTCCATTTGCTGTTTCTCTCTGGAAATCAGCTAAATGTAGAACTGATGTTTTTTTCCCAAGATAATGATTACTTTGCTGTTCACTTTAGACTGCACTGTTAGAGCAATACATGTACAAAAGAGGTCTCTTCCCTTCCACATACCCCCTCCCCCCTCCTTGTTCTGTTTTCTAATAGAAAGTATGACATGTTGTAAGTACAATAATATTTAGAACAAGTATGCTGCCATCTTATTTTCTTCCTCCTGCCCCAGAGCCAAGTGTTCTGTCTCCATTGTGCCTTATTCAAATTTAGTAGAACGTTGAATTCATATGATAATAAATTGCACTTATAGAGGAAAAATTGGTAGCTCACACTAGTTGACCTCTCAACGACCCGTATGCTAGTCATTAAAGTTGGTATCATAGAAAAGAGCTCTTCAACCCTTGTTGCTCTGTTCAAAAACTCTCTCAATCACGGCCTGGCCCACTACAGAGTAGCCAATTAACCCTATCCGTACGTTGTCTTTTACTATTGTATCCATATGACGTGGGGTACTCTGTGCCACCACTTTCCAAAGAGGAAATTTACTCGTTAATCCGATCCGTATGCTTTGCATAGCAGTCTATCAAAATGATTTTTTGAGAAATACTGAAAGTTTCAAAGAGATCTTTGTACTAGAAGTATTCTAAAATGTGAAATGACCCCAGGGTGTACGGATAGGGTTACACTGAGGTAACAGAAGCTGATTTAGGCTATAATTTTATCACAGAGGAGCAGTGACACACTCCAAAATTATGGGTGTTAGGTCTGAGTATGTTTAGATGTTGACTTAACGTAGTGTTAGTTCCTTACTCGTTTAGGTGAGTGAGTGGGTGGTTGGCGGATGCTATGATCTGGTTTGCTCCTTTTTTCCTATCAAATATCTATAGTCCTTATTTTTCCTTCGTTTTTGTGTGTTTTTCGAACACCTCTAATCTTCGGCACTTTCATGACCTAATTATGTTGCAAGTGCCTTCAAACTCTTACTAAAACAAATAAAACAAATCAGATAGGTGCTCTGTTTCTGTATTCTCCACTGTCACCTTGTCCATTACTTTTTTTTGTTTGAGTAGGTGGTTATAGGGTTACTTTGATGGGTCCTACTTCTTCACGCTCCGTCAGTTTTTGTTTGTTAGTTTTGTTTTGTCCAAGCACAAAGTGCTGGTAATTGTGTTGTATGATGAAGATATTCTTACTTTTCATGGCATGTGTTGTCTTTGCAGGTGAACTTTTTCGACGACCACACCAAGCTGATCTTGAGCAGTGTGAAGAACGAGTACGTGGTCACATACATTGACCAGGACCGCTGTGCCCGCACGTATGGCCTGAGCCACGTACTTCAGGAGGGCAGCACCAGTGACATTCTTGACCGTATGACCTTCGCACGCTCCATGCTCAAGAACCTTGTGGACATCGAGGGCGCTGACATTTGAGGGTAGCCGAGAGAAACACTGCCCTTCATTCTGCTAGTCTCACCATACAAACACTTAAGCCACTCAATCTATTTTACAAAATAGTGTTATGTTTATTTACTATACTATGTCGCTGGAAGCCGGCATAAAAAAAGCAATATATAGATAAATCTTTTATTTATAAATGTTTTTACTATTCCTCTGCACATGCGATGAGATATGTGTACCACCACGGTGTGCCAAAATGTACGAGGTTCAAGCTCCTGTCACGCTGTGTGTTGCTCCGGAGCGTAGGCGGACCTCGATGGGTGTGATGTGTGAGCACCAGAGTCTGAGACCTGTAGACTGTCATTTCGTTGTGAGTGGAACCGGTGCATCTAATTTCCGGTACTTTTCTCCATCTTGCTCAACCCAGGGTCTTTTCCTGGTTGTGCTTTCCTTTCGACCACCGGTCTTGGGGGGCTGCTCTACATTGACATTTCACCATCAGCAGCTGAGCAGCACGTGTCAGTTAGCTTGGTTACTTATTGCTGGCAAGGTCAGTGCTCGTTGATTCCATTAGCATCTAGAAATAAGCATGGTTGCCACTTACCCTCATCGGCATCATCTATGAAGAGGGCTGAGTTTCCTGTATCTTTTATTTTTATGCAGAGAATATTGAGGTTCTCAGAGTATACAAAAAGGTGGATGCATGGAAAAGATTTTCGTATACAACATTTTCTCATACTTGTATCGGAATAGATGTCCTGAATGAGTGAAAAATAACCTTGTACATAGGGTTGAAAGTTGTCTTATGAATCAAAACTCTTGGGTCTGAACATAAAATTTGATTTTCTCTTGTCTGGGAATTATTTCTGTTCCTTTTATAGACCTAATTCTTTTTTTTTTTCCAAGGTAAACCTAATCCCAACTAGTGCCTGTTCTTGGAACTAAACTCTTTTGCCAACTGCTTTCATGATTGCCTGTAACTGGGGTTTTAATTCCTTTATTTTTATAGTTTTCGTTTTCGTTGTTGGACATGTAGGTTTGATCCAGCGGAAAATATAAAGACCTGTTCTTGATTTTCATAAAATGGATCTATACATTTGTTTTCATTTGTACTGACCAAATTGTATGTACACATTTGCTTCAAATTGTGTAGGATGATATTTGTGAGATGCTTCAAAATATTTGGAAGTACCATGTCCAATTGTGGTGGAAACTGCGAGATACTTGTTCCATGAGAGAATGGATGAGGTTTTTTTACCTTGTATTTTACATGCCTATGTACAGTTGCAAGTAGTTTCAATGTACACATCTGAGAATGACCAGACGTAGCTATTGTTGTATATAGATGTGAGTTTGTGTGTGTGTGTGTGTGTGTGTATGTGCGTTTGTGTGTGCGTGTTTCCCGAACATTCTGATCTCCAGCAGGGTGGAGGACTATATAGCAGACCTCCCACCAGAATGCACGTTGTCTCCCTCAGGGCAGCTTATTAGCTTTATCTTGTTGTACCAGAACTCCCAGCTGTTGTCCTTGATAGCGATCTGTTTGTCTGTCCTGGCGCAACTCTTGTGTCTTTGGAACAGTTTATGTTTCCTCAGTGAAGACAACTCAATTCGATTGTTGCCAAAAGTGTTTTGTTTTTCAACACCTAAAAGTGGCATTAGCAAAGTGATATTTGAGATAGACTCCTCATTGCTTCTTTTGTTCTCTCTGTATCTCTCTCTGTCTTCCTCTCTCTCTCTCTCTCTCTCTCTCTCTCTCTCTCTCCCTCTCCCCTCATTCTCTCTCTTTCACTCATTCTCTCTCTTTCACTCACTCCCTCTCTCTCTCTCTCTCTCTCTCTCTCTCTCTCTCTCTCTCTCTCTCTCTCTCTCTCTCTCTCTCTCTCTCTCTCTTTCTCTCTCTCTCTCTCTCTCTTTCACTCACTCAGTCCCCCCCCCTCTCTCTCTCTCTCTCTCTCTCTCTCTCTCTCTCTCTCTCTCTCTCTCTCTCTCTCTCTCTCTCTCTCTCTCTCTCTCTCTCTCTCTCTCTCTCTCTCGTTTAACGCCTTATGTTCCTACCAGTGGAGTGATCCAGTTGTGCAGTGGGACCAACATGTTCCGTCTTTCTGCCTAAAATGCCTTCAAAGTAAAAGGATTCCATTTTATATAATTATCTACTTTTATCGCAGTATGCAGCATCCTCTAATTTTGTTTTAATTCAAGATGGTCAATAGTCCTAAGTGTGACAGCATGTGATGTGCAAGAGTGGTGTTTTATTTTTATCAGTACACATTTCCAAGTTTCTGGAAGAAGCTTGCAATAAGAATATGTTTGCTTTCTTTGTATCAATCATTGTTAATGTACTTGTATGTTATTAAAAGTTTGTTTCTTTCACTCATTTGTAAATAGTTTTCAAAGTGTTGGCTGGCCTAAGTAGAAATATAATCTTTCATGATTTGTTTTCACTTTCTATTTAGAAAAACTTGTCTTCCGTGAGTCACGGATATAGACAGAATGATGTAAATATAAACCAGATGATCTTAATTTCACACAGTCATACTGTCTGTAGGTCAGCAGTCAGTGTTTGGTGGGTTTTTTTTTGTGTCATCCCTCTCTCTTTTAGCATACATTTGTGATTCGAGTGGCCTTTTTTAGATTCAGCCTTCCTTTACCCCAGTAAGAATATCCTCAGAGAGATTGGCACTGATAACTCCCATAGACAGAAAGCTGTTCTGATTTTCTGAGAAATAAGTCTTAGCTCAGATGTTATTTGTTGAACAGGTAGTTGCAGTTTGAATGTCATATATATCAATTTGATTTTCATACATTCAATATAACAAGATTCCACTGAGGAATGTAGGCTTGTTCATGAACTCGGTACCTCGTTTTTAGTTAATTGCATTTGTGCTGGATGCATGAAGATCATCACAGCGAAGTGAAAAGTATATTTGATCTTTGATCTTTTTCGAAAAGTTGAATTATTGGGTTCTGCTCTCAGTATAGTAAAAGAAGTGTAGGAAAAGGGATCCCAAGGAGTCACATTTCTGGTAAAGCAATTTTGTATGGAAAGTGTCCAGATAGACTTGAGTCCCTCATTTTGGTTCAACAATTTATGATGTCAGTGAATTAAGGTGTCTAAACAGCTTTGCAAAAAATCCCCTGAAACAACTACTTTGGCCTCCTTTCTGTATGTCACTGACTGCTGACTGTCGTGGAATTTTGACCTCTCTAATGTGTCCATAGTTTTGTACATATATTTGCATAATGTTATGTCTATCATAGCATACTGGAGTTATGTCTATTAATCTTGTTTCTCTTTTCCATGTGCTTACCAGTTGCTAAATGTGAATACAACCAGGCTGTCTGTACCAGTATTATTCCTTTTTGTGATGATCAAAGAGACGGGATGACCTACGGGAGGCAGTTCTCTTTGTCCCAGTGGACTGTGTCCAGAACTTACTGACTAGATCAAGGTCATATCTAGGTGGAGACATTCCTCAAGCATCCTGCTAACATTTGGGGAAAGAACATGGCCTTAAGGAACCATAGTTATCCCAGTTTTTCCATTTTTTTCTGAAAGATTCCAAATTAAATTCTGTTTTTGTTTAAAAAAAAAAATCAAATAGATTGCATGAAAGACAGTACTTTGACTGTTTTCTCTAAGATCACTTACACTATGCTTATGTTTTGTAAATAATTGAATATGTTTTGACTTGAATGACTGTTTCGTCAGTTTATTTTGCGGAGTGGTGAACAAAAGCGATGCTTCCTTTTAGTAAGAAAAAAAAATGTAGCCTTAACATAAATGATTGTTTGACTTAAAATGATTGTCCCATGTCCAACATATGTATGATTTCACACTTTCAATATTATATGATTGTCATATGTTCAACATAAAGGATTGTTACATATTCAACATATATAAAATTTGATCGGCTAGCTGTTCAAATGTGCCAAGCCCAACATTTTGAAAAACATTTTAATTTCAGTTTCAAACTCTGGTGTACCGGTTGCATATACTCATGAAATATTTTGTCAAAATTCAAATTCTAAATGTTAAAAAAAGTAAGAAAAGATACATACCGGTATGCAGATACAATTTGTAAAAGAGTTTCAGCAGTTTTGCCTCTCTCCTGAGAAATTTAGCTTTTGGGCTAAGGACATTTTAACAGCTTGCAGATGATATTATGCTTGTCACATGTCCAATATGTATGCTTGTCATATGTTTATAATGCTTGAAAGGTGAGACTCTCGGTGTGGATGTTTTTTGCAAATTTATTTTTTCTGCGGAGTTAAAAAAATTGTGTCTCACTCTTTGAGACTGCATAGGGTCTGCCTGTCCCACCAGATGGTGTTGAGTTTGATAAAAATTTCTCCACTTTGCCAAAACGAGGGCCTTGATATTCAGTATTTGAGAGGAAAATGGAACAGCTTCTGTTGAGATATAGATTTTAGTTAACAGAAACGTAACTGAAATTTGAAAGATTTTTCATTTTTTTGTAACCTCTTTTAAAAAAGTAAAGTTTGTATCTATTTGCCTAAGCAGACAGGTCGTCCTACAGGTAAGGTGCCTGCCACATATGCCAAAATATCAAGGCTGCTTTGCTCTTCATCTGAGCATGACTGGAAGGTTCCTTGAGTTTTTAACCTTCTCCCCCCCCTCCCCCCACCATACTGAGTAAGATGGAATAGAATCAGTAAAATAAAATAGAACCCTCCAGAAACAACTCAAGTCTTGCACATGTTGGACACCTCATCTGTGGACTGTCAGGGTAAAGGGCTGGCTTGCCCAGATTTAAACAGAATCTGTCCCAGTTTCAATCGTCAACTTGTCATTTATTCTTCAATTATTCTTGCGTTGCATTTTGCGTAAAGGGCTCTATTTGTGTGATTTATGACCGTTTGGAATGCCTTCACTGTCGCTGGGTAGAGACAGAAGTTGATACTTATAAATGGTATGTCTGGCAAAAGCAAATCCAGTTTGATTATTTTAGTTGAGCACTTTAAGATAATATTTCCATTATACATTGTTTGAACCTATCACATTGACTCAGTGAGTGTAAATTAATGTATCAGCTCTTAAAGGAAGGACCAACCAGAGGTACATGAATGATATCAATCTTGCCATCTCCATGTTATATGTGTAACCCTGGGGAAACGTATTATAACGTTTGTTGATACGTCACATTTCTGTTAACCAACAGGGTGAAGATCACGTATTGTCATTTTTATTCATGAATGGCCGTGGTCATTGTTATTTTAGTTAGTCATTATCACATAGCATACACAGGCTACTATGCTAAGTGCCTTTGAATTGTTGAGAAAGCTGGGACCACAGCTCGTTTTTTTTACCAAAACAAAACCTAAGCATTCCTTCCCCCATTGCGTCCGAGGAGCGGACATCTTGTACAGTGCATTGCATTTACATTTGAGGCATAATCATTGAGTATGACTATGCAGTGTGTGTATCTCTGTGTGTGTCGGTGTGAGTATGTGTGCACAGCCATATGACATAGCCTCCCTCTCACCTGTCTCGTATGTTTGACGTTTTGACAACACCGTAACACTGCTGAGCCGCGCCTGCTCTCTATCCAGGCTGCTATGTCACCTGCTCCAGAGACAGAGCCTGCAGTACATCATTATGCCCAATTTGTTCCATTAATTACTGAACTTTCTTACACTTTAAAAAACTTATAAAGTATTTTTCTTACAGTTTACATTGAAATCTGAATTTCACCGCAAAACCTATTTTATGAAATGAAATAAAGTCATTAAAGGTACATCACACTGCGTTGAGTTTTTGAGTTTGGCATGAAGTTGTCCTAAATGGTTGTGAGTTTCACTGTCTTCATGCGTTTGGCTGTTTAGTTAGTAGTACATTATTATGCTTATAGAAAGGTCATAATCTGATGAAGCAATGGATTCTAGTTATTATATTTTAAAAGAATACTTAATTAATTATTTATTTATTTATGTATTTATTTATC